TCTTCTGCTGCTTCTTCAGTACTGTCATACACATCCGATTGATCTCTCCTTACTGAAATACTAATAATACCATACACAATATACAATGGTGACATTAACAGTACTCTGTGTTGTGAGTATATGTGACATTCAAGTAATGGATCACTTTGTAAAAACATGATATGATGCGAAAAGGACAACAGTCTAGCTGTGACTCTGGACATTTCAAATCTGAAAACAAAGGTTTCAAATGTTTCCAGCTGTGAGTTGAACTTGCATTTATTAATAACAATATTTATCATACAACTACTTGCATACAGAGCACAATCCCAGAACATACAGAATGAACAAATCACACATGATAAACACCGCAGGATAATCCATAGATAGATAGATAGATAGCTACTTTATCTATCCCCTAGGGGAATTCATGTGTCCATTAGCTCATTGTTGCTAATAACAATAATAAAAACAGTTAATAATAAATAAACAATAATAATTTGATTGGTCCACTTCCTTTAGCTGAGGTGTTGTATAGCCTGATGGCACTGGGAACGTAGGATCTCCTGAATGTCTCTGTTCTGCAGCGCAGTGAGATGAGACCGTTTGCTTATGTAGCTGCTTCTCTGTCCTGCCAGAATGTTGTGGAGAGGATGGTTGGTATTGTCTAAGATGGCATCCATCTTACATTGCATGTGTCTCTCCTCAACAGTCCTGAGTGAGTTCACACTCCTGCACAGACCCAGCCTTTTTGACCAGCTTGTCCAGTCTCCTTGTGTTCATGTCGGACATGCTGCTGCCCCAGCAGACTGCAGCATAGAAAAGTACACTGGCCACCACTGACTGATAAAACATGTGCAGCATTTCACTGCAGACATCAAAGGAAAAAAAGAGCCGGCTCTGCCCCTTCAGGTAGATGGCATCCGTGTTCAGGGACCAGTCCAGTTTACAGGGATCCACCACAGTCCCCTCCAGCTTGTCTTTGAGAATGTGGGGTTGGATGGTGTTAAATGCACTTGAAAAATCAAAGAACAACCTGGCTCATCCAAGTAAGAATGGGCCCAGTGGAGCATATAAAGGATAGCATCATCCACTCCAATATGTTCTTTGTAGGCGAACTGTAGGGGATCAAGTGCATGTTCAACCTGTGGCTTCGGAAGGTGGAGAGGCAACCACTCCAGGGTCTTCATGATGTGTGATGTGAGGGCCACTGGTCTGTAGTCATTTATCTCAGCCGGTTATCCTACTTTAGATACTGGAACAAGACATGATGTTTTCAACAGGACTGGGTCCCTCCCTGTTTGTAGACTTAAGTTGAAGATCCACTGGAGAGGCTCAGCCAGCTGGGCTGCACAGTCCTTTAACAGCCTCGAACACACACCATTCGGGCCTGTTGCCTTTCCAGGACGTAGCCTCTTGAGCTCCGCCCTCACCTCCTCCGCTGTAAAGGACAGGAGACTTGACCCCAGTGTGGAGGGAGTTGCAGCTGCAGTTTCAGGTTGTGTAGGAGATGCTGTAGGAGAAGCTGCAGCCAAAGCAGTGGGAGAGAGAACAGGTGAGGCTGTGTCAAACCTGTTATAGAACAGGTTGAACTCATTGGCCTTGTCCATATCACCTGATGTTGCCTGGCTCTTCTTTCTTTTTATAGCCAGTGATGGTCCTCATCCCCTTCCACACCTCTCTGGTGTTGTTGTGCTGCAGCTTCCTCTCTACTTTCATTTTGTAGTCCTCCTTCGCCTGCTTTAATCTCCTCTTCAGCTCATGTTGCACACACATAAGCTTCTCACTGTCTCCATCCCTGAAGACCTAACCATTTTTCTGGTTGAGGAGTGTCTTGATGTTACTGGTGATCCAGGGTTTGTTGTTTGGAAAGCAGTGTACAGTCCTTGCTGGTATTAAAGTGTCCATACAGAAGTTAATGTTGTCTGTGGTACATTAAACCATTCTATCAAGGTCAGGCTCCTTGCTTTTATCATTTTCCTGTGACTCCAACAGGACATTCCAATCTGTGCACTCAAAACAGTCTTTTAGAGACTCCCTGGCCTCCGGGGTCCAGTTCCTGAATGAGTGGGTGGTTGCAACCTATCTCAGTGCACAGGGCTTGCAGAAGGCTGAAGAAAAAACTTATTATGATCTGATATGCCAAGTGGTGGTTGAGCTGAAGCAGTGTAGGCCTCCTTGACATTTGCATTCAACAGATCAAGTGGCTTATTTTCCCTTGTGGGCCAGACAACATACTGAGTGAAGTCAGTCAGGTGAGAGGTGAGAGTGACATGGTTAAAATCTCCCGATATTGCAATGAATGCATCAGGGTGCTGGGTCTGTACTCTAGCAACAGTCTCGTGAATGATGTCACAAGCAAGTGCAGGCTCTGCTCGTGCTTGAACAACAATGGTGAAGATGTGTGAGAATACGCTCCATACATAGTACAGTCTAAGACCAACTGCCAAAAGTTCAATATCCCAAAAGCAGATCTTCTCCCTCCCTGTGTTAAGACAGGGGTTGCACCATCTATTGTTCATAAGCAGAACCAGTCCTCCACCTTCTTTCTTTCCACTGCCTTCTCTGTCCGCTCATACTGCAGTGAAGCCGGGTAAATCCACACAACGGTCGGGAGTGTTGTTGTTTAACCAGGTCTCTGTGAAACACATGAGACTACACTCACAATATGCTTGCTGGTTCTTCACAAGTGCCTCCAGTTCATCACACTTGTTAGCCAGGGAATTGACATTTCCAATGTGGATCAATGGTAGAAAAGGGTTATATCTCCATCTACTAGCCTTTAGCTTAGCCCCGGCTCTGCATCTGTTTAACTCCATATCTGGTAAACTTTAAAGCCAGGAGTTGTTCGTCAGATGAAATGATGTAATATAAAAAACATTAATCAACAAAAAATATACTAATATATACAAATAGTTCAAAAAACTACGAGCTATGCGGACTTGCTGCCACTTGTTGTCAGCGCATCATTTGAATTATTGTTGTGAGGAACTATTTCCTACTGGAAATAGTAGAAAGGGCCACAAAGTGTGTGACACACTGAAGTTTTTCAAATGTATCGTTTCCAATTGTGTGAGCAACTCAAACACATTTCTCAACAATAAATTGGGGTGGCAGCATGACAAGACATGACAAACATGAGGGGCATGCGACAAAGAACCTCTCATAACATGACATTTTACAAAAATAATTGTGGTATTAGTCTACTGCTTATCAATGTGAATGACATGAGAATAATCAGTCACTGTGCCCTTTCTTCTTCCACCAGGTGGCGGCAAAGTAAATGTGTGTTCAGACAGAGCAGTGAGAAGGTCACTGGTGGTCGTTCATTCGTTTTCCATGTGAGCCAGTGTCTGTTGGTGGCATGCCCATCAGAGAACGTTGAAGTCCAGGAAACTTCATGGTAATGAGCTATGTGCAGTTGGTGCAGCGGCAACCAATCAGAATTTTGAAGTGCTCCACTCTAGGCAACACAACAGCTTTGAGTGAAAGGTGGGGGCCATCACAGTCTGCTAGCTGTCTGCTCGGCGTCCCCTCAGCTAATTCAAGTCACTGAATGTGACGTCTCTGCCGTGTTTGTGGTCTTGATGCCCTATGGAGGATTTTTCATGCAAATATCAGGCAGATAATCAAATCAATTAAAATCAGCTTTATTTATATAGCGCCTTTTGTGCAAAACTGCAATACAAGGTGATTAAAGGGATAGTTCAGGTCATTTGATGTGGCATTGTGTGAGGTACTCATGAATAGCTGGTACATCATCCACAGTAGATTCTGTTCAGCGCTGAAAATATTCTATATGGAGCTACATTTAAACAGATATTGGATTGTTTCATGGGTCTAAAACACATTTTTTTTCTCGTGGCCCCACCCACAACAACATATCACTCTGCCACTCTGCTGGGTGCTGCCAGTCAAATTTCCTAACTGGGAGCGCGCTGAACAGAATCTACTGTGGGTGTATGTATTGAGTATATATGACTACATCACACAACCCCATGTCAAAAAACCAGAACTGTCCCTTTAACGATATTAAAAAGCAGTAAAATCAATCAAAATAGGACAAAATAGATAGATAAGTAAATAGACTAAATAAATAAGTAAATAGGTTTAAAAGGCTAAGCAAAAATAAAAAATGAAGTCTTTCTTTTGAAACTAAGCAGTGACTTTGCCATCCTCAGGTCCTGCTGTTCCACAGGCGAGGGGCTTACCTGCAGAACACTGGTTCTTTGTCCTCACTTAGGACCAACTAAAAGGGCTGTCTCCGAGGACCTGAGTTGTCAGGCGGGGGAATACCTCTGACATGTATTCAGGCACTTATCCATTGAGTGATTTGAGGAATAATAACGGGATTTTATAAAATTTGTTTTAAAACTAACAGGCAGCCAGTGTAGAGACTAGGACAGGCGAGATGTGTGCTCTCCTTCTGGTGTCGGTCAGAAGACGTGCTGCTGCATTCTGAATGGTCTGAAACCTATTTACAGCTTATTTGGGGAGACCAGAGAAGAGAGCATTACAGTAGTGTAGCCTGCTGGTGCTGAAAGAATGCACTAGTCTCTCGGTATGTGAGAAAAGGCTGCACTTTAGCAATATTTTCTAAGATGATGAAAGCATGTTTTGTCACATAACTGATGTGGGATTTAAAACTGAAGTCATGATCTAGAAGCAAGACGAGTCAGGACTGGGACACAACTGACTTTGGAACAGTGTCATTCACCCAGTCTTTGAAAGAGTTGACAATTTAGATGTTTCTTCAATAATAACTTAACACCCCGTATTAGCATGAATTTATACGTGAAATAAAATGCATTCCAACAACAGTTTTTCGGGGCAAAGAAACCTGGGATATGTCTGAGTTTTCACTGATTTTTTCCTGTGTGTGTGTGTGTGTGTGTGGTGGTGGTGGGGGGGGGGGGGGGTTTAGTGACTTCACACTTTTTTGTATCCTTAATCTTAATCAGAGAAGAAACATGGTTTATATAAGTTTGGTGATATATTCTGTATTTGTCTTAGTGTCAAAAGGTCCCATGGGAAAAAAACCAACAACAATTAACTGATCCTAAGTGTGCTGTGTGTGTATTCAAAGTCTGCTGTATCATCTGTGGCACCCACTGTAATTTATTTTGTTGGTTGTTATTGATTGTCCTTTGTTGCTTCTGTTGACGAGCAGCTCACTTGTTCTTCTTTGATACACACAGTTGAAATCTCTTCTTCTATTTCTACACAGCGGTGTTTCTTCAAAGACTGTGAACGCGTGAACAGCCTCTTACACTGTGAACACCAGTATGGCTTCTCTCCAGTGTGGACACGCAGGTGGCGGCTATAACTGTATGAACTGTTGAAACATTTCCCACACTGGTCACAGCTGAATGGTTGCTCTCCGGTGTGAATACGAAGGTGACGCATGTAGTTGCTTAGACGACCAAAACCTTTCCCACATTCTTTACACTGGTACGGTTTCTCTCCAGTGTGGGTGCGCACATGCTGCTTGTATGTTTTGGAAATAGAGAAACTTTTCTCACACAGTTCACAACGGAAGGGTTTTTCTCCAGTGTGTATACGTAAATGTGACTTGTAATTACCTAACTGAGAGAAACTCCTCCCACACTGGGCACAGCAGTATGGTTTCTCTCCTGTGTGCACACGCAGGTGTATCTTGTAACTACTCAAGTCACTGAATGTCTTTTCACATTGGTCACACTCGTATGGTTTCTCTCCAGTATGGTTACGCAGGTGTAGACTGAAATGCCCTGACTGAGTGAAACTCTTTCCACAAAAGTCACATTGGTAGGGCTTCTCTCCACTGTGACTGAGCAGGTGTCGCTTGTATGAACTTAAAAAACTAAAACTCTTTGGACACTGGTCACAGCAGTATGGCTTTTCTTTCGTGTGGACACGCATGTGTATCTTGTAAATACTGAAGTAACTGAAGCTCTTCTCACACTGGTCACACTGGTATGGTCCAGTGTGGTCACGCAGATGTTTTCTGTATGAGCTCTGGTCGCTGAAATCCCTCCCACACTGGTCGCAGCAGTATGGTGTCTCTTCAGGGTGGGTATACAGATGTAAATTGTATGCATTTAGTTCACTGAAAGTGCTACCACATTGTTCACAGTGGTACAGTTTCTCTGCATTGTGAGTGAGTTCATGTCTTCTCAGACTACAAATCCGACTGAAAGACTTCCCACACTTCTGACACTGATGAGGTCTGGTCCTGTCTGTGTCTGTTGGTTTCATCTGAGAAAAACAGAGAGAGATGAGGGTCAGAGTGAAGGGCTTAATAAAATGCTGCTACACTGTAACAAATTCCTGTAAATTTACGAGGAAATTTCAACAGTACAATCCTGTTATCTTTAAATGCAGTATATTACTGTAAACTTTTCTCATGAAACACTATTATAAAAGCATTTTACAGTAGCCAATTTAAATGGCGAAAACATTTTACACTGCAGCCATTAGCTAGCTGTATTACAGTACTTCACTTTAAACACTATCACATAATGAACCACATACTGAAAATCTCAGATTTTCATTTCAGTAACCGCAGAGAAACCAAAGCCTTTATTTAACATAGTTTATATTTAACTCAGGACTATAACTTCAATGTCCAAAGTTAGAATGCTTAGTATGAGCCTTGACTTTTTCTTTTACTGTTTTGTCATGCATATGGTTGATCTGATTACCTTGACTGAAAACATCTGAACCCAAAGCTGTGCTAAAATGTAACAGCATTATTCATCAAAAGCCCACTGTCAAGCAGTGGTTAAAGGATAACTTAGGGACTTTTGAACCTGGGCCTTACTATCCCATGTTAAAGGGTGTAAATGATTGAAAGGAACAAAAACCTATGGAATTGTTGGGGTATTGAGCAAGAACTTTTTACCCGGCACCAGCTGCTACAATGTAAACAATGAGAGTTGCTGAAATAATGCTGCCTCAAGGAAGCAGCAACTCCCATGTTTTGAGAGATAAAATTAAATTTTGTCAATGAAGTCTGGGAGCGACATAACATCTGCCCCTGCTTAAACAAAGTTTTTTTTATTTTTTATTCTTATTTTATTGTTTTTCTCTGGCCTAATATAAAGTAGGCGACTTGTTGTGGTTTACAACAACACAGCATGGGCTAGTTCATGTATCATATATGCTTGTTGTCATTTTTTCTTCTTTTTCCTTTTTTTCCCCCTCTTTCTGTTATATTTGTTAATTAATAAACAGTTACACACTACCTTTTGGTCAACTGCACACATTAACAAGTAATTCTACCAACATGCAGCAGTCACCATGTCAGATATGAAAAATAATTCATGGAATATTAAAGTTTGGGAAGTTCCATTGAAAGGGAAAAATATTATCCCTTCTCAAACAAGATAAAAGAAGACGTTGCCTTTCTGCAAGAAATTTATCCAACAGATAATGAACATATAAAATTAAAAAGGGATTGGGTGGGTCAGGGTTTACTTTTCTTCATATAAAACTCATCAGAGGAACAGCCATCTTGATAAACAAACACACTCCATTTCAATTAGAAAAATCTGTTACAGACCCTAATGACAGGTTTTTTTTTTTTTTTATCTTAGGTTCGACCTGTGGAATCCCAATAACCTTTTTCAAATGTTTATGCTCCCAATACAGATGAATCAACATTTATGTGGGACATGGTGCTGCTTTTTAATGAAAATTGTAAAGGATTTGGAGTGATAGGTGGCGACTTTAACTGTACAATGAATTCTATCTTAAATCTAAATCTAACCAGACTAAGTGCCACAGCTCCAAAACTTCAAAGGTCCTCCACAGGTTATGTGCAGAATGTGGACTGATGTCTGGCTTGAATTAAATCAGGATGTCAAAGATTCTACTTTTTTCTCAAATGTTCATAATTCATACTCTCGAATAGATTATTTCTTTGTCCACTTAAAATATATTTACATGATAAAAGATTGTGGAATTAAATAATCACTGTTTCAGATCATGCCAGACTTCATTTAAATATTCATTTCAACAAGGAAAACTTTGTCTCTTTGATACTTCCTTACTGATAAAGAATTTGCATCAAAAATTAGAGTGTGGATTACAAATTATTCAAAAGAAAATTATGATCCCTCATGGACCCCAATACCATCTGGCAAACAGCAAAAGGCACGTTAAGAGGATTATTTATTTCATATGTATCATTCAAATACACGAACAACGGAAGCATAGACAAGAACTTGAGAAAGAAGTAGAAAGATCTGAAGCACTTCATAAAACAGTATCTACGATAATTGGAGACAATTTACTGTATCTAGAGCCAAACTAAACCTCTACATTACAAGAGTAATTACAAATAAAAAGAACCATGTTATAACAAAAACATTATGAATTTGGTGATAAACCAAGCAAACTACCATCAACTGAAGGAGCAGCAAGCAGAAAGGATGATTAAAGTAATTGGTTTCAAAGATAATAATATAACCTACCACCTAAAAGAGATTAATCAGGCTTTTTATGAATTTTATAATAAACTTTATAAATCCTACAGTAATTATTCACAAGAAGAACTAATTAATAAATTATTAGAATCAGATCAACAATACCTTAATTCACCTTTTACAGAAGTAGTTCTGGCTACAGTTAAGTCTATACGTTCAAATAAAAGTCCAGGACCAGATGGCTTTTCGGACAGATTTTATCAAGAATTCTGGAATGATCTCCAACCCATTTTTATATCAATGATTAAAAGTTTTTGTCATAATAGAATACTCCCTCAGTCAATGTATGTTGCACATATTAATGTGTTACACAGATGTGGCAAGGACCCCCTAAATTGTTCCTAATTTAGACCTATAAGTCTCTTGATTTTTTTTTTTTTTCAAGTTATTTTTTGGGCTTTTTTGTGCCTTTAATGGACAGGACAGTAGAGAGACAGGAAATCGGGAGGCAGAGAGAGGGGAATGAGGTTAATTCAGTACAATCAGGCTTCAAAAAAGAAAGACATGCTGATGATAATATAAGAAGACTTCTAAATGTTATAAACTATTCAAAACACCTGTTGGAGGCTCTCTTTTTTTCTCTCTTTGGATGCGGAGAAGGACTTTGACAGGGTTGAATGGAATTTTCTTTTCTCCATTTTACACAGATATAATGTTGGTTCTAATTTTATTGCGTGGATCAAATCAATTTATAAAAGTCCTAAAGCAGCAGTCATCACTAATGGTATGTCCTCTGATTTCTTTTCCTTAACCAGAGGAACAAGACAGGGGTGTCCATTGTCACCTTTGCTTTTTGCAATGGTGATTGAACCACTGGTATCTGTAATAATACAAACGTTAAAGGATTGAAGATTAATAAAAATGAACAGAAATTTCAATATCACATTTATACAGCACAATAGAGCAATTTGGAAGATACTCAAGGTATAAGATAAACTTTAACAAATCTAATGCATGCCTCTTACATACAGTATGACGACAACAGAAAAAATGTACAAGTCTTGTCCTTTGAAATGGACACAAAGGGGGTTTAAATGTGTTTTTAACAGCTCCTGCTCAAACATTTTAGATTTAATAGCCCCACTTGGATATAAAAAATTGAAAACCCCCTCTCTTCCTGGGTTGAATGACGAAATAAGGTTTTTAAAGAGACAATGCAGAAAGGCTGAGAGGAAATGGAAAAAGGACAAACTGGACAAACTAATGTTCACTTACCAGTCTAAAATCAAAGAAGCAAGGAACACCTATTTTCACAACTCATCGCTGATCATAGTCACAACCTAAGAATCCTTTTAAATCATTAAAATCTGTGATTGGTCCCCTGCCCAGCCAGCCTGTCAATCCTCGCCAGAGAACTGTGAACTATTTCTTATCTTACTGACAAAATTGAAAAAAATCGTCAACAGTTCAACACTTAACTTAGAGAGCAGAATTTGTTGACTCCTGACCCCCTTCTTCTCTTGGCCATTTCAGTAAGAGCTCACTGTAGCACTTCCTAAATCCTCCACTTGCCCCTTCAGATTGCATCCCTTCTTGGTTTTTAAAAACTGTTTTTCACACGGTGGGTCCAGACATTTTAACTATTATAAATTGCTCTGTCATCTGAGGTTTTTCCCTTCTATAGTAAACATGCACAGTTTAGCACAGTTTTTTAAAGAAACCATCTCTAGATCCCTCTGTTTTAAGTAATTTTAGACCCATATTTCCTAGTTGCCATTTTTATACAAGATTTTAGACAAAAGGTTTCGCTCCCAACGTAGTACCGAGACTGCTCTGGTCAAGGTTGCAAATGATCTGCTACTTGCTGCTGATTCTGGTCAGTCCTCTATTTTAATCCTCCTTGACCTCAGGTCAGCCTTTGATACTGTGGACCACAATGCCTTAATTGGTCATCTGAAGAACAGCCTGGGCATCAGTGATGTGGCCCTGGACTGGTTCGTCTCTTACCTATCCAACAGGTCTTTTTCTGTAATGTTTGATTTTTGATGTAATTTTTGATTCAGACCTTCCTTTTGATGCTCAGGTGTCCAAAGTAATGCAGTCCTGCTTTGCCCAACTCAGACAAATAAGGAAAATCAGGTTGTTCCTTTCACCTTCTCACTTAGAAAAGGTCATCCACGCTTTTATCACTTCCAGACTTGATTATTGTAATGTTCTTTATTCTGGCATCAGTAATCGCAACATCCATAGATTACAATTAAATCAAAACGCTGCTGCCAGGCTCTTAACACGTAACAAGAGAAGCAACCACATTACACCAGTCTTGCAGCCCTTCACTGGCTACCTGTGAGTTTTAGAATTTAGAGGATAGATTTTATTGCTAATTTTTAAAGCCTTACATGGTCAGGCTCCAGCCTTCATCTGCAAGATGCTGACTCCCTATCAGCCCGACTGCTGCCTGAGATCTTCCAGCAAGACACTACTAGTGGTTCTGAAATCTTGACTTGTCACTAAAGGTGACTGAGCCTTTGCAGTTTGGGCCCCAAGGCTGTGGAATTCACTGCCTGGAGATCTCAGGCAGGCAAATTCAGCAGCCCCTTTTAAATCTCTTCTTAAGAGGTACCTTAATCCTTTGGCTTTTTCTTAACCACTGGCTTTGCTGTAACTTTTACCATGTTTTTGTCAATGTGTGGGATCTTAATTATTTGCTTATTGTTTTACTATTGTTTTTATTGTTAGTATGTTTAGTTGTAAAGCACTTTGTAAGTTGGTTTTGAAAGGTGCTATATAAATAACAAAATCAGAGTCCATGGGGAGTCTTGATCTCTC